AGTGTGACAAACATGCAAAAAAATAAGAAATCAGGAAGGGGGCCAACACTTTTTCACACCACTGTATATATATCAATATTAAGAAATATATACACGCATGCATAATTATCTACATTAAAAATAAATATATATATAAAATACATAAATTAAGAAATATATACACATTCATGTACATACGCATATATATATATATATATATATTCAAGCCTTTACATGCTAATTTTTTCCTATTGATCAAATAATTTCAGGTCTACACCACTCTTTCCAATCCGATCGAATTCGGGTTCAGCTCTGATCAACCTGATGGATTGAGGCGTTTACATAAAGGTTTTTCAGTCTGATTATGCCAATAAACACAATTCATTCATTTATGATTGGATTGAAGTAAATGTAGCTATAAGAATGTGGCTCTCCGTCTCACCACTAGGGTGTGCAAATACACCAAATGGTTATGATGATGTGAAATGTTTTTCTTTTGCCTAAACAAATTATTCAGGGAAATTAAAGAAAACAAATTTCTCTTTCTATTCTCTTGAGCAGCAATGATTATCTCATTAAAAAGGCTGCAAACCTGTGGCTGTCTTCAGGGCAGGACTGGGGGTTGCCTGCAGTCCGTTATGTCCCGTGGCTGGCAGGTGCATTTTAGGAGGAGAGAGGAGGTGAGGGGCTGATGCACTGGGGGAAGGGGAGAAGCGGTACAGGCTGTTGCTGTATCCTGGGCGACGGCCCTCTCTGCGGTTACCGTCGATGGCCGCCTGCAGCTCTCCAGGGGAACTCAGACCCTTCTTCTCACACTCGTATGGGTACAGGTACTTCATATACCTGTAACAGAATATCAACAACTTCAGCTTACTATGCTACTTCATTTATGTAAAAAAACAAAGTACTGAAGGTAAATGAATGTGTAGATGTCAGCAATCTTACTGTGTGCGCAGGGTGAAGGCGGCGCTGGTGATGGAGGTGGGCAGGTTCAGGCCTTTGGTGATCTCCCTCCAGATCTTCTTGTTTATTACCTCCACCAGACCTCCCTTCTCAGTCACCAGCTTATACAGCATGTACAGATCCAACACCTGCTTGGCCATGATGGGGATTCGATTCACAGGTGTACCTAGAGGAAGCAGAACGGACAGGAACAGCTGAGTTTAAGTTTCCATTTTGTGAGATGGATCAAAGAGGAGTTGGTGGAGTATCTCAGGACTAGGTTAGTCTCAACCTGATATAAATGTACAATGAATAGACATTAAAAATTATTAATATTTTTGAAAAAAAAATTCAAACAATTCATAGTGCCCTATTATTGAAAAAAAAAAAACACAAAAAAAAAACTTCAGCCTGATTGATAAAAATGTGTGTGCAAGGATGTGCTGAATGAAGGTGTTGACCATGAAAATTGATGGGCAGATGAAGACAAACTATAGGAAACTATGGGTTTTAAGACACTAATGCATTGATTATGAGACTATGGGAAATTATGGGCTAAGAAAGTAATTGTGAAATGATGGATTCATCATGTTAAGGGCTTTATTAATATCGTAATGAAGGACTGATGAAGGTGTTGACTGTGGGAAGTGATTGGCCATTCAACACAGTAACTATGCTAAATGATGGTGTGATGATAGGAAGTGATGAGCTGAAATATAGAGATGCTACCAGAAGCCTGTTTCTAGCATTAAAAATGCATGTGCATCTGTCTACCCCTCACAGAAAAACGGATTGAAGTGATCGAGTTTTTAATCTGTGAGCAATGAGCTGGTGTGGGTAGGCAAGTGCAATGAAGCTCATTTGAAAGGGATTGCGGCAACTAAAACTGCACACACACACACACACACACACACACACACACACACACGCGCATGCTCTGTTAGCGCAGTTACAAGTGTGTATACAGAACAGGAGGGGAGGTGCTTTGAGCCCCCATAATGCCATACCACGCTGGGCCTATTCTGGAATAAAACCAATTAATGTATGTGTGTGTGCTTTGTGAGAAGTGGGGATTTAAACAGTCCTAGTGACTTAAGGTCAGGATTACACCCTAATTTAGCCACTCCATTCTCATTAACATAGATTCACACGCACATAGATAGACACCTGTGCACCAAACAAAAAAAATAAATAAATAAAAAAAAAAAGATAGGCCTGAAGCAGGGTATGTTGTATTGATAATGCAATTTGTAATGTAAAAAAAACAAAAATTATATATATACACTACCGGTCAAAAGTTTGGGATCAGTAAGACTTGTAATGTTTTTTAAAGAAGTCTCTTATGCTCATCAAGGCTGCATTTATTTGATCAAAAATACAGAAAAAAACAGTAGTCTTGCATTTTAATATCCTTTAAAATATAATTTATTTCTGTGATGCAAAGCTGAATTTCCATCAGCCATTACTCCAGTCTAAAGTGCCACATGATCCTTCAGAAATCATTCTAATATGCCGATTTATTATTAGAATTATCAATGTTGGCAACAGTTGTGCTGCCAAATATTTTTTTTGGAAACTGCAATACTTTTTTCAGGATTCTTTGAAGAATAAAAAGTTAAAAAGAACAGCATTTATTCAAAATATAAATCTTTTCTAACAATATAAATCTTTGCTATCACTTCTTAACAATTTAACACATCCTTGCTGAATAAAAGTTTTAATTTCTTTAAAAAAAAGAAAGAATAAAAATGTACTGACCCCAAGCTTTTGAACGGTAGTGTATATTGTTAGAAAAGATTTCTATTTTAAATAAATGCTCTTCTTTTTAAATGTTTATTCATCATAGAATCCTGAAAAAAAAAGTATCACAGTTTCCAAAAAAATATTAAGCAGCACAACAGTTTCCAGCACTGATAATAAATCAGCATATTAGAATGATTTCTGAAGGATCATGTGACACTTTAGACTGGAGTAATGATGCTGAAATTTCAGCTTGGCATCACAGGAATAAATTAGATTTCAATGTATATCAAAACAGAAAAACGTTATTTTACATCATAATAATATTTCACAATTGAGTGTGTGTATGTGTGTGTGTATGTGTATGTGTATGTGTATATATATATATATATATATATACAATTTTAGATTTTTTTTCAATAAAATGTATTAATGCATAAATTACATATTTAATATATAAAAACGTAAACAAATGATATATAGTTAAATACATGATATTTATATATAAAAAATTATACATCATGTAAATATATATTTATTTACTCACACATACATGTGTATATAAAACAAACAATTACGTATATAAAATTATATGTCATTTGTCATGTAAATATATATATATATATATGATAAAATATTAATTAAGAAATATATACACATATATAATTATCTACATTAAAAATAAATATATATATAAAATACATAAATTAAGAAATATATACACATTCATGTACATACGCATATATATATATATATATATATTCAAGCCTTTACATGCTAATTTTTTCCTATTGATCAAATAATTTCAGGTCTACACCTAAAACTATAAACATTCAAATGCTGAATATTAATATTATAATATATAACATTTTAAATAAAAACATTTTCAAAAAAAACCTTGTTCAGTGGTCTTTACACAAGCATGAAATATAGTCGCTAGTTTCAAACAAACACCAAATGTCTGTTTCGTGGTTGTTTGTGTGCTTCCTCTTGAATTATCGGGATCAGAATGTTCTGTTCTCAAACCCCTCACAGCAAACAGCCATAAAGCATTCATTTAGCCAGTGTAATTTAGAAGCCCAGGTCTCTAAGACAAGGCCCAGCACCCCCCGGAGAGTCCGGAGCAAGAGCTCCCTTTGAAAGGCAGTTATTTAATGCTGGGAATGACATTACTCATTCATCAAACAATCGCTGCTCAGATTCGAGCAAAAGGTTAGCGCTAGGTCACCGAGCTGGAGATTCAGGTACAGGTCCACAGGAAATCGTGCGGAGCGGTGGCGTCTAGAGAGCGACCTTGTGACACGCTCCATAACTGCAAAACCAATTTAGCTCAAACTCAAGAATGGAAAAGTCATTGGAAGTCTTCTCCTGCTAAAGAGGCTTCATTATTGATTGATGTGAGCTGTGCTACAGCTTAATGCTGAAGCATTGCACTCCTAATTGATATCATGTTGTCTCCCTTCATATAAGTCTCAAGAAATAGCCAATGAGACACGTCAGATGTGGTTAATGAAATAAAAGCACGAGGTTGCAGGGATGCAAACATACAATGCTGAACATATCTATGAAAAGAGCATCCCACGATAACAATATCGTGCACATTCATTACCGTGATATATCGCATTACCGAATACCGGCACAAGTCTATTCAGAACCAAATTCAACTTAACCAACTAAAATGTTCATAAAGACATTAACATATGGAAACAAAAGCAGGACAGTTTCATACTCGATTCCAAAAAAAAAGGACAGAAACATTACTAGCATTGTTGCTTTAGTCAATTTACTAGTTGTTTAACTACTATAAATTAATACAAAGCTGTCATTTTTTGCATGTAGATTCTGATTTCATAGACAAAGCTAATCTGTTTGCTGAAAGGAAGTGGAAGCAATTTCTAACTAATTTACTTTTTATCACTCCATCTAATTTTATCCCCTCCCCCATTTGTTCTCTAGAAAAAAAATAGGCCAGTAAATCTGACCACTGCCCTAAATATAGGAGGAAACAGCTGCCCACATTAAGAAGCCAGCGTCCTGCGATGAACCAATAAGGCACCCTGAGACGCCAGGCTGGTGAAGGAAATTCCACGCTCTGACCTAAACAATGATTGCCATTCTTACTGTAATGCAGCTGTAGAGAGGAAGTGAGGGGGCATACAGGAAGTGCATGGTCTAACATCCGACGAAAGGTTCTGGATGATGCTGTGTGGCTAGATCTTTTGTTTTGATAAGCCGAAAAAAGTTTCAGTATTGCCAGATTGCATTTCACACCGAAGTCAAAAGAAAAAACAAGAAATTGCATTTTGCAAAAAGAAAATAAAGCATATTTGAGGACCATTCATGCCTTTTACACATTATCACAATTCTCATTACTGCAAAGTGTCTGGAAGGATTTTATGAATAATGACAATTATAAAAAACAAAACAAATAAATTAAAATAAATACATTTAAATGGTTTCATTTGATTCTCATTACACAAATTGTACTGTGAAACAACTTTTTTTTTAAATGTTATTTAAAACAATAAATGTTACCATCACACACTTATTTTACAAAAAACATTTAATTGTTTATTTACATATGAATTTAATGATATACATTAATGATATACATATTTACTGTATATCTTTAAAAATCTTTTTTTTTTTGCATTGCAAAAATTTTCAAAGTAAACTGAATCGTGCCACTGTTGTTTTAGCAATAAAATATATAAACTATTATAGTTTTATTTATATTTTGAATTAGTTTTTATTTTTTATAAATTTCCATGTTCTTTTTTAATTTTAGTCATTTTTTAATTTATTAGTTTTTTAAACTATATAGTTTATATGGTTTTTATTCACTTTTAATTCAGTTTTAGTTTTAGCTATTTCGATACATCAAATTAAATTAAAATGGGAATGTTTCTTTTGCAAATAACTGAAATAAAATAGCTTATATGGTTTTAGTTAACTATAATAACCCTGCATTGTGTTTTGTCAAGAAAATCCTAAGAACAGACAGATTTTTTGGGGATTCACCAAAATGTTCATCCACAACATCCTTGACAACAGCAAAATCGTAACAAGCAGGGATTCTGAGAGTCATTTTTCATTTTTGTCAATAAGCACTTTCCATGCTTGTATAAAATATTCATGTTTCCTCCGACACCCATCTTTCACTCCGCAACTCTAAAGACACTCTGTATATGCAGCCCTGGCTCCAAATGAACTACTTTCAGTGGACTCGCAGAGAAAACTATTTTTTTTTTTGTATGTAAATAAATACAATATTTATTGTTTTATATATAGTTTGCCTATCCAACAAGCCACTGGGTCGTAATTCAGTTGGATTTAATGCTGCACAAGGAATTTGCTGTCATGCTTGATTTAGTGCATTTGATTAAGACTTCAACATGTTTACTGGATTAGGAGAGCCATGTCTCTTTACAGCTGAGCCATAAAAACAAACGGATCGAGGGCTCAGTGCAAGACTGTGTTCCTCTGGGGGACCGTGAACATTGACGCAAAGAGAGAGGGATAAGGAAAGAGGTTTTTGGGGATCTTTCTGACTCTCCTAAATAAATCTGTAGTCAGTGGTTACAAATGGTCGGAGTCGCTCGGGTGGGAAAGGAGCAGCCCACATCAAACCCAGGATGTCATAAACATGCTTGAGGAGAGTAACAAGCCTCAGGAGTGACAAGACAAACGCTCCAAACAGGACATGTCACACAATAGAGGCCGTGCTCACATATAACCTCCTCCCTGCTGACTATAGGAAACCCAGCAGCTGTTTGCCATGTCGACGATAAATTAAACTGGACCACAAATGCTCTTAGTCATAATTCGAAAATGTTCTTTGTTACCAATGAGAAGCTACAAAACATTAAAATGGGCCAGTTAAATAATTTAACAAAAGGAAGTGTGTTCAACATTAGTGGTAAATAGATACATTTATGAGACTATTACATGAGTATTTAGAATACTTGATTCTGATTGGAAAACTGCAACATTGTCATACATGTGTAAATACTGTATAAAATGTTTAAATATTTGGTACTTTTTTTTGCATCATTATTGCACAAACAAAAAAAAACTAAAAAAATGAATACTTTCAAAATATTAAGATATTACAACATTGATATTAAAATTCTGACTGATGTTGATAAATTGATTGTCATGTTATGATTTTAATTTTGTTCATTTTTAACGCCATGTTAGCATCAAGGCTGTCATGTTATGATTAAAATTCTATAATATATTGTTTACTCTACATAATAAAAAACTAGAAATAAATGCTACCAAAATGCTATACTATAACGTACAGTATAAAAACATTATATTAATTTAGATTTTTGTGCAATATTACAAGATTGCAATATACAGTATCTCACAGAAGTGAGTACACCCCTCACATTTTTGTAAATATTTAATTATATATTTTCATGTGACAACACTGAAGAAATGACACTGTAATGTAGTGAGTGTACAGCTTGTATAACAGTGTAAATTTGCTGTCCCCTCAAATTTACTCAACACACAGCCATTAATGTCTAAACCGCTGGCCACAAAAGTGAGTACACCCCTAAGTGTCCAAATTGGGCCCAAAGTGTCAATATTTTGTGCGCCCACTAGGGGTGTGCGATATTGACAAAAAATTATATCTCGATATTTTATGGGATTTTATCGATAACGATAATTAGACGATATTTTGCTGAGTGTGTTATTGTGCTGGTAACCTTAAGGACTGCCGAAGACAGCTGACTCCTAATGTTTTTAATATTCTTCATATTCTGTGTGGTGGTCAGTTCATACTGATAGAAATTAATATTTTCCAATAAGTTTAAACTGATTTTTACCTTTTATGGGCATTTTTACCTTTATAAAGCCATTTTTTCTAAAAGTGTCCATTATCTTTTGAGTCAAATTCTTACATTTAATCAGGGAATTAGAATAATAAGACATCTGAGCAATTACCAAGCAAATTAAATCAACACAGAAGCTGCATCTGAAGTGGCATTTAGAT